TAAAACGGACTTCTACCTTCTCCACTCCTAGACCTCGGCTTGCTAAAACGGACTTCTACCTTCTCCACTCCTAGACCTCGGCTTGCTAAAACGGACTTCTAATTTCTCCTCCATTGGGTGTAATTAACCCCTCCAGTTCCAGAACTGCCTTTTAAGTTAAGTAACTTTTTTCTCCAACCAAGCCACTTCTGTTATTAATATTACACAGTATCTAAAGGTTCTACTGTGTCATTCTGTCAAGTTATTCCTATTATTCATAAGGGATTGCTACTAAGGCTAATTCTCCCTCCAATAATCAAATTATTACTAATTGCAACTCTGTCCTGCTTCATTAATAATTTTCTCATAAATTATTCCATCTTAATTAAGTTGGAAACTAACTCTGCCTATTTTTCTGCATTATTTCTAATGGGAATTAAGTGGCTTGTGTAAATCATCATTGACTTATACTTCAATCACAATTAACATCCTACATGAGTATTTAAAGATACAGTAACCACTGTTTCATATCAGTATAAAAGGAGGTGAAACTTATAGTTACTGCAATTAGAAGATTCTGCAGTTGAGTTCCAATCAAAATAAGTATTACACTATGCATGTAGAAAATGCAATTGTATCCCAGTTTAAATGTGTATTTCACAATTATATTTATTTAATTGTTTTATGTTTTTATGTTATGAACCATAAAATGCATCCCACTAATTATCTATTCATGTTAATTATTTTTAAGACCTTGGTCTGCCTGCTACCTTTTGCACTTTATCACATGTAGTTTGTCTCACTTTTCTGCAAAATATTTTGTATTTTTTTTTCCTGCCATGAAATATTACAATAAACAGTGGAAAGAATAATTTACAATATGTTTAAATCAGATAATCAGTGTATATAACAAACAGAACAAGGAAAATAGAGAAAAGCCTTCTAAATCCCAGCTGATAAATGTTATCATGCATATGCAAGCTATTTCTAAAAGTACTTATAATAATCATTTTTGCTGCTTTCACACTAAAGAATATTTGTTAAGAATTGTTACGTGAATGTGCTTTCTTCGCAACAAAAACACATTTTCAAACTATGGAGTCTTACAATTACATTGGGATCTTTTGGACCTCACTTTAGGAAGAAGACATCTTACTTGAGATTGACTGATGCCATAGGAAGAAGATATCTTACCTGAGAGTGACTGATGCTTTTTATTATTATTATTATGATATTTATAGAGCGCCGTCAAATTCCGCAGCGCTTTACAATGGGTGGACGAACAGACATGTAGTTGTAACCAGACAAGTTGGACACAGGAACAGAGGGGTTGAGGGCCCTGCTCAATGAGCTTACATGCTAGAGGGAGTGGGGTAAAATGACACAAAAAGGTAAGGATAGTATTAGACTAATGACAGTTGCAGAAGAGGAATCAGTCAGGAGCTATCAACAGTTTAATGGATACGCTTTTATGAAGTAGTGGGTTTTTAATGATTTTGTGAAGGAGTGGAGACTGGGTGAGCATCTAACGAAGGAGGGAAGCGAGTTCCACAGGAACGGTGCAGCCCTCGAGAAGTCTTGAAGGCAAGCATCAGAGGTGGGAGTACGGACAGAAGATAGACGTAAGTCTTCAGCAGATCGTAAGGGCCTAGACGGGACATACTTGTGTATAAGGGAGGATAGATAGGTGGGAGCAGCATTATGTAGCGATTTGAAAGCAAGAACCAGAATTGTTCCTTCCCAGTCAATTATAAATTTGAGGTTTATCTCCCATGTTCAGTTTATTGTAGGACCAACCAATACTGGGGTACTGTGACGTAGTGGTGGGTTTAATACAATATATCCATATGGTGTAGTTGAATCACCATATTTGTTTACAGAGATTTAGTCATTTGAAACTGCATTTTCTTTGTGTGTGGGCTGTTCCTTAATGTGTTTTGCGTATATGTTGGTGTTTACTGCAGCACGGAAATGCCCCGAGTTTCCTTTTTACTGTCATTAAATGCTCTAACCATTCTTACTTTCAATGTTAGGTGTTGTGATTATATGGAAAGTGTTATGTATTTAATAGACAGTGTATATAAATGAAGGAAACTACTTATTAAGACAAAAGCATGGCAAATCATGGGAAAGGCATCATTTTAACAGTTATTAATAAAAACAAACACTTGTTTCAACTGTTTGCTCTAATTTAACACTTCGCTTCTTATTTGCCTCTTTTTTTGCCTTGATAAATATGTCTAAGTATGTCCATAACTGGCACAAATCAAGCATAGGCATAACTTAATAAGACCAGTATACTGAGTAGGCAATATATACCATATTTGGATTTCCACAGTTTCCACTAATCATTATAATAATGTATAGCTGAGGCACAGATTTTAATTGTTGAGAGGACAAACATATGTTTATCAAATGCATTCTAAAGGAAACCAATAAAAGTCCTTATTTTTTTTTAAATGTATCTCCTTCTCTTCAAATTAGAATTTTGCAATAGAAAACATTGCCAAAGGAAATCCGTTCCAAAACCATTTGCATTGTGCAAAAAGATTATAAATGGTCTTTCCTTCAAAAACTGTACATGAGCCCATCTGGCTCAAAAACTCAGGGTTACTTTCAATTAAAAAAAAAACAATTGATCAGTGTCACGGCAAGGGTGCATAATGTATTATTACACTATGGAATATTATTATCCTTTAATGTAATTTGTGTAGTAAATGGCACAAATTACAGAGATGCTATTGCTGAGGTCAAAAGGGGGTTACATCTTTTGAAGCTGGGACCCCCACAGAGGTCAGATGACAGAAGGGGTAGTATGAATGGCATAGCAATGTGAAAATGATTTTACTATATGGATGTAACAGAATCAAGGCTCTGCAAGGTGTGAGGTTCTACACTTGGAAAAAGTCTAAATGTCTCTTCATCCATTTGGCATGTACCTTGTAAGTGATGAGTAAATCTCTTTGATATGTAAATGCCATTAGCCTTGTTCCTGTATCATATCCAAAGGAAGGACAAAAACATTCATATTTACCCCACAGAATAATAATAAAGCCTTATTTTTATTATATTTGGAATGGGACAAGCCCAATCTTTTAATTAAGCCTAAACATGAGTTGCACAACTTAAACCGTGTGGCAGGAATTGTGATGTCTGTCCTACTGGATCGCAGGTGGCGCATGTAGCATTTCTATAGAATGGGAAAATAATAACAAATTCATAGAGGCAATTATTATTTCTGTGGCGGGTACATAAGAGAAGATAGAACCAAATGTTTCCATTTTGATTGATGTGGGTCTGGACACAAGGGGGTGGTCACGTATTATTTTGGTAGGTACTCCTTAACTCCACCTCTGGGTGAGGCGTGGTAATTCACAGGGTATATCTCTAATGATCCTGAAGGATGCTAGTGTACTTGCTTGGGGCCAAGATCTAATTTTGAGTGAGTCACCATCTTTCCTTGCTAGAGACCCCCTGGACAGAAGTTGTACTTTGAAATCCTAAGTGAGTAATTAGGACTACTGTAATTTATCCTTTTGTTTTTATCTGTTGTTGGTGTAAATAATTTGTTTATCATATATTGTTATATTCAATGTGACTATTTTTTGCTCATAATAAACATTAATTTATTAAGTTCTGCCTTTGTCTGGTTAAGAATCACGTTACCTGAAGAGACTAATTAGTATGCTTGCATTCCTTTAATATTGTGCTAAGTAATATTTAGTGGGTTTTATTATTGATTTACCTGGGGGACCAAGGCACCCCATTTATAAATTGTCTTGGTGGTGGCAGCGTTAAAATAGTAATAGTTATATTATTATGTTTAAGTGTGGGTGGTGTTAAAAGGGGGATTTTGTCATTATT